CTTTAGTTAGGGTTGTATCAGATCATTTTCCTATTATTCTTGATTTCAGTGCGTTTAAGTGAGGTTCGAGCCCTTTTAGGTTTGAGAATATGTGGTTGGATCATAATAGCTTTAAACAAAATTTTGAAAGCTGGTGGAAAAAGTGTGGTTCAAGGTTGGAAGAGATTTAAATTCATGAAGATGTTAGAAATGGTCAAGCAACCGATTGAGGTTTTGAATAAAGAAGTGTTTGCTGATGTACGATTGGAGAAGAGTATAATTATGAATCGTATTTTTGGCTTGATAGGTTGGACATGGTGGGAGATTTAAATGATCAATTGAGAAGGGAGAGATCAGAGTTATGGAGTAAGTCTGAGGAAGTGATGTTTGTAAGAGGAGATTAGTTGGAGGCAAAAGATTAAGGTTAGACGGCCAAAGAGGGAGATTGCAATTCAAAATTCTTTCATAGAGTTGCTAATAATAGATAGAAGGAAAAAGAACCTTATTAGTAAGATTGAAATTGGTAGTGGTTTGGTGATTGAGGATGAAAGGGTCATTTAGGAGGAGATCATTACATATTTTAAGAATCTTTATTCAGCTAAAGAGGAGTTGAGGCTGCAAATTGAGGGATTGGAGTGGTATACTATTGGGATTGATAAATCTAGCCGGTTAGAGAGGCCCTTTGAGGAGAAGGAAATGAAAGATGTAGTTTTTGAGTGCTCTAGAGATAAATCTCATGAGTCGGATGGTTTTATTATAATTTTGTTTCAAGATTGTTGGGATGTGTTGAGAGATGATCTAATGAAGGTTTTTAAGGAGTTTTATAGGAATGGTGTGGTGAATGTTAACACTAATGCAACTTATATTTGTTTGATCTCAAAAAAACACAATTCTTTGCAAATGAGGATTTTAGATCGATAATTTTGGTTACTAGTTTATATAAGACTGTTTCCAAGGTGTTGTTAATAAGATTAAGGGAGGTTTTAGGGGGATACAATTTCTTGAAATTAGAATGCATTTGTTGTGGGATGACATATTTTGGGTAGTGTTTTGGTGGCTAATGAAGTGGTTAAGGAGTATAGAGCAAAGGGTACGAAAGTGATTTTTTTAGGATTGACTTTGAAAAGACATGATCATGTGGATTGGGGAATTTGGATTTTGTCCTTAAAGCTAAGGGTTTTTGGAGCAGATGTAGAAAATGGATCGAGGGATGATTATCTTCTATGAACTTTTCAGCGATTGTTAATGGTAAACCAAAGGGAAGATTTAATGCTTCGAGGGGTTGAGGCAAGGTGATCCATTGTCACCTTTTCTTTTCACTTTGTTGTGGATGGGTTGAATAAATTGGTGGATAGAGGAATGGAGTATGATTTAGTGGAAGATTTTTTAGTAAGGAATGATGGGATTATTATGTCTCATCTTCAATTTACTAATAATACCATTTTTTACTTAGCGGGAGATGAACACAAATTTCTTAATTTGGTCGCCATTGTGAGTAGTTTTAGTTTGGTTTTGGGATTGAAAGTGAATATGTCTAATAGTTCTATTGTTGGTATTAGTGTGTCTAGAAGTAAAGTTGAAGGTTTGACGATGGGGTTGGGATGTGAGTTGCCATTAAAATATCTAGGATTTTAAATGGGAGTTAATTCTTTGTCTTTAAATTTTTGGAATCCAGTTGTGGGAGAGTGCAAAAAAGGTTATTTTTGGAATCCAATTGTGGGGAAGGTGCAAAAAAGGTTAGATGGTTGGAAGAAGAGATGTTTGTCAAGGGAAAAGAGGCTTTCTTTGATTCAAATAGTTTTGAGTTATCTTATGAGTCTTTTTATGTTGCCTAGGATGGTGTTAAAGATTTTGGAGAAAATGATGAAAGATTTTTCATGGGAAGGAAGTGAGAAAATGAGAAAAGATCATTTAGTAAGATGGGACGTGGTTTCAAAATATAAACCTAACAGGGGATTAACAACCGACAACTTGATTAAGAGGAATATAGCTTGGTTAGGAAAGTGGCTTCGGAGGTTTCCATTGAAAATTGAATCTTTGTGGCATCCTATTATCAAAAGAATTTTTTTTTATCAAAAAAAAAAAGGTGAGTATTGCTAGTGTGGGAGAGAGAAGGGGAAAAAATAAGGAAGATGGATGTTTGATTTCATGTTTAATTTGTGTGGTTTGGAGAATAATTGTGTTTGGATGTAATACCAATGCACGATGTGTGTTGCACATACATAAATTTAAAATATACTTTTTTATAGAAAACATGAAAATGTGTAATTAAATTAAATAATAAACTAAGTGTCGAATAATTAATTTGTATTTTAATTATTGCTAAATTTAATTATTAGTTTATTCTATAAGACTTTGAGTACTTAATTTGTTATTTATTTAGGTATTTTTCTAACTCCTTTAGGCATTTATACATCTAATTATATTATAGAATTATAAAGTTTTATAGAAAACGTGAAAATGTGTAGTTAAATTAAGTAATAAACTAATTGTCGAACAATTAATTTGTATTTTAATTATTGCTAAATCTAAGTATTATTTTATTCTATAAGACTTTGAGTATCTATTCTGTTATTTATTAAGATATCTTTCTAACCCCTTTAGGCATTTGTACATCTAATTATATTATAGAATTATTAATTGTATTTTGTTAAATAGATTGATTAGATTGCTTATAATATTATTATATTATTACATACCAAAAAATAAAATATAATATATATTTAACCGTAAAATTCAATTTAGTAACTTCATGTATATAATAATTTAACATATATAGGACTTTTCATATAGATATAGNTCTTAATTTGGTCGCCATTGTGAGTAGTTTTAGTTTGGTTTTGGGATTGAAAGTGAATATGTCTAATAGTTCTATTGTTGGTATTAGTGTGTCTAGAAGTAAAGTTGAAGGTTTGACGATGGGGTTGGGATGTGAGTTGCCATTAAAATATCTAGGATTTTAAATGGGAGTTAATTCTTTGTCTTTAAATTTTTGGAATCCAGTTGTGGGAGAGTGCAAAAAAGGTTATTTTTGGAATCCAATTGTGGGGAAGGTGCAAAAAAGGTTAGATGGTTGGAAGAAGAGATGTTTGTCAAGGGAAAAGAGGCTTTCTTTGATTCAAATAGTTTTGAGTTATCTTATGAGTCTTTTTATGTTGCCTAGGATGGTGTTAAAGATTTTGGAGAAAATGATGAAAGATTTTTCATGGGAAGGAAGTGAGAAAATGAGAAAAGATCATTTAGTAAGATGGGACGTGGTTTCAAAATATAAACCTAACAGGGGATTAACAACCGACAACTTGATTAAGAGGAATATAGCTTGGTTAGGAAAGTGGCTTCGGAGGTTTCCATTGAAAATTGAATCTTTGTGGCATCCTATTATCAAAAGAATTTTTTTTTATCAAAAAAAAAAAGGTGAGTATTGCTAGTGTGGGAGAGAGAAGGGGAAAAAATAAGGAAGATGGATGTTTGATTTCATGTTTAATTTGTGTGGTTTGGAGAATAATTGTGTTTGGATGTAATACCAATGCACGATGTGTGTTGCACATACATAAATTTAAAATATACTTTTTTATAGAAAACATGAAAATGTGTAATTAAATTAAATAATAAACTAAGTGTCGAATAATTAATTTGTATTTTAATTATTGCTAAATTTAATTATTAGTTTATTCTATAAGACTTTGAGTACTTAATTTGTTATTTATTTAGGTATTTTTCTAACTCCTTTAGGCATTTATACATCTAATTATATTATAGAATTATAAAGTTTTATAGAAAACGTGAAAATGTGTAGTTAAATTAAGTAATAAACTAATTGTCGAACAATTAATTTGTATTTTAATTATTGCTAAATCTAAGTATTATTTTATTCTATAAGACTTTGAGTATCTATTCTGTTATTTATTAAGATATCTTTCTAACCCCTTTAGGCATTTGTACATCTAATTATATTATAGAATTATTAATTGTATTTTGTTAAATAGATTGATTAGATTGCTTATAATATTATTATATTATTACATACCAAAAAATAAAATATAATATATATTTAACCGTAAAATTCAATTTAGTAACTTCATGTATATAATAATTTAACATATATAGGACTTTTCATATAGATATAGAAAATTGTATATAATTGTACTACTAATAAATGAGTTCAAAAGAATTTAGAAGTCCATATAAAAGAGTCAAAAATAAGTTGAAAGTCAAATAGGAGTAAAAAAACAGAAATTAGATTAAAGTATGTAGGTAGCTATAATTGACTTTATTATAATAATTAGGGATAAAATAAGAAATTAAAGTTTTTCACAGATGCTGTCATTTATAAGTACTATAGATAGATTGTTGTAAAATATCATAAATGCACATAGAGATCTACACGTGACACACACATGATATTTTCCTTCCTTTTTTGTAATGTTAGCTAGTGTCAAGTACCACATTGGCTCAGTATTTAAACTTTGAGGATAAAATTGACTAAATTTAAACTTTAAGGACCAAAGTAGAATGAGTGGTAAAGTTCAGGGACTATTGGTGCAATTTGCCCTTTCACAAAAGAGGAGGAATAAGAAAAGACAGCAGCAGCCAAGGATTTCGCATATGCACAGACATAATTTATTTTGATTGTGGATTAGGATGATATTAATTAGACTAGTACTATGCACAAAACTATCAATTATCATGTTTAGCTGCATTATTCTCTCAGAAAAAGTTTTTTACTTATAGTATTATTTCCAGCTATCAATTACCATTTTTACCCAACTGACTTAATCAGGGTTGTGTCAGCTTAACTCATTGGTGATTCACTTCTAATTAGTCTGTGGCTTTGTCCACACCTGTTACTATAAATTGGGAGGCCCCTATTTCTATTCGTTGGGGTTACTTGTTTTAAACTGAACAGCTCATGATGTTTGTTCTTCTTTGTGTAGGAGCTTGTTCAGTTAGAAGGTGGAGAGAGCACTCCAAAGAAAAAGAGGGGAAGACCACCTAAACTAAGGAATAGTCCCAAAGCTCCAATGACAGGTATATAATTTTACCCTATGAAGCACAGTCTCCTCTCCATAGTTTAGGGGACCTGTGTGGGGGCACTCCTAGGACATGGAGGCACTCGAACACTTGAAAAAGTGTCCGTTGTTTTTTGGAAACATTGGAGCACGATCAGTGCACAGCAGGGGCACATTCAGGATAATGTTTTTTGAATGAAAAATGTGGGTCACCTATGAAATAATAATACCTCTTTTAGTGGCCACTAAAGGGGGTTTAGGAGAAATGAACTGGGTATCCTACCTCAAGGTTACTGTGACGATTTTTAACCACTGAAATGGGGTAAAATATAAATCATAAGAATCCATATTTTTCCAAATAAAAACTAAATCAAATACTGGAAGATAAAAGAAGATAACGAGAAGAAGCCACCATCTTACAACCATTGTGAGATCAAAAACTTAGAAGTTTTATCTCCCACGATCATGACATGCCACAATACCTGTTGTCTTCCAGCCGCTCCAGTGATTTTCTAATGACCTAGTCATCATGCTACAAATCCTATTCCTTTTCATTAAAGTTTGTCTTCTTCGAATTCGATATCATGATTTTGTTATATTGGTCTTACAGTAATTTTGTAAAGATGAGTTGTGTTTGAAACTTCAGATAAATGGATCAATATTTTTTACTTGATTGTGATTGAATTATTAATACAAAAATCAACGTATCTTCACTCTGTCTATTTTTTGATCAATTTCATGTCGGGGTCTCCATGTTGTGTCGTGGAGTAACCATGTTCCAGATTTGTATTCATATCCGAGCTTCTCAGGCTATACCATTTGCTATCATGATTTTGTAATGTTGGTTTTATAGTAATTTTGTAATCATGAGTTATGTTTGTAACTTTAGATAAATGGATCAATATGTTGTACTTGATTATGATTGAATTGTTAATACAGAAATCATGTCCGCATTGTGTCTATTTTTTGAGAAATTTCATGTCGGGGTCTCCATGTCGTGTCGTAGAGTAACCGTGTTCCAGATCTGTATTCGTATCCGTGCTTCTTAGACTATACCATTTGATATCATGATTTTGTTATTTTGGTCTTACAATAATTTTGGAAAGATGACTTATATTTGAAACTTTAGACAAAATGGATCAATATTTTGTACTTGATTATGATTGAATTGTTAATACATAAATCAACGTGTCCTCATTGTGTCTATTTTTCGAGAAATTTCATATCGGGGTCTCCATGTCATGTCGTGGGGTAACTGTGTTCCAGATCTGTAGTCATATCCGTGCTTCTTAGACTATACCATTAGGTCATAATTATTGTCGTAATATTGAATTTTTAATTAAAAATTGAGCATTGATTTGTAGATAAGGAGAAAAATGGAGATGTTGCCATGGATGGAATGGTTTGCATGATCAATGAAGTTGATTTCTCCACCATCACAGGATTGGGACCACCAGTGCCCGGGAAGGAATGTATGAAGTTCGTTGGGGATGATGAGAAGCTAACAAATGGTCCACCTAATCAGAAAATTAACTCAACCAATATGATTAAAAAGCGTTCTGCGAAAAAAGATGAAGTGTCAAGGGAAAAAGTCTTGCAAGCTTCAAGGAAGCCACATAAGAAGCAGCCGTCAAAGAGAGGAAGAAGACGTTCCATAAATTCAAGTATTGGATCTCCAATCCAAGGTGGGCAATGCATTACTTTTCTACAATTGATACACAATGCTAGGGGATCATGAAGGTTGCTTAGTTGCATTGTCGTTCTTTTAACCTCTGGTTTGCATAACTCCTCTAGTTTATTCTGCATTTTAATAGCTTAGTCCGGAAATTTCATGACATCCATTTCATCCTTAACAAGTGGTAAGATAAGGATGTCTCATGGGATTGTTCCAGCAAAATGGACAATATGTCTTCTCTTCATTGTACAGAATACAGGAATGGCCTCTCCTGCACTATTTACATTTAGGGAATGAGTGAAAATTTCTGGCTAACAAAATTGGAATGAAAAAAAGTTGCCAATTGCATGAGCTCAATATCAAACTTTTGACATGATGGCCAAGTAAAACATGAATTTTCTTACTGCTTTAAAACTTCGCTGGTACAACTGAAATATAAGGTACAACTGAAATAAAAGAGATCTTGTAAGAGTAACGTCCTCCCTCCTCTCTTCTCCCTTAGTACACTGGGTCTTTGATGTCAGGATTTGATGTCTTTTGTGGCTTTCTGTAGATCCTCAAGAAGATGCATCTGGAGGAAAAACAACTGAAACGAATAGCAGAATGGCCAGTGATGAAGTACCAATCGGCGGTGTATCTGATGATCAACCTCTTTCAAAGTGGTTTGAAGGAATGCACACTCCGACTACTGTAGATAGCTCAAGTAAGCCATTAAACCTTTTTATGGCACTCCCTCTCTTGGTAGTTTTTGGGTTAATTACCATGACCTCCCTTTGTGATTTGTCCATGACTAGACCCCCTCATGTATGAACAAACTACCCCTTCTTGTATGTCGGTAATAGATTCTCCCAATCAGTGACTGTCAGTCAGAGAAGGTTAAGGATGTGATGATGTAAGTTTGATTTATTTTGGAAATACCAGTATTGCCCATATAAGGTCCCTGTTCATATCACTTGAGGATAAATTTGGCCAAACCTTAAGAAAGGCAATTGTTTATAACGTAATTTCAGAGTATTGAATCACAGAAATCTCTATCCTCTCAGTAAAACCAAAAATTTGGCCGCCACCCTCCACCGTTTCCTTCCACGACCACAAATAACCACATCTAAACATGCAAATACTCACAATTCTATACTTATGACCTCAGCTCAAACAAAATCCAAATCAATTGCCCAAGTTCTGAAAACTCTCCATCTGTTTTCAAGTTTAGTACCTAGAAATTCAAAATTTTTAATCAATTTCAATAAATTGATTAAACTGGAATCCCTTATGCCGCCTCCACCATCTTGCCAGGGGAACACAACGATCAACTTCTGTAACCCAGGACAACCATTGACACCCAGATCTGCACTCCCAAAACCAGTGTAACTCTCCTCTCTCTGCTCTCTCATCTTTCGGCCACCAAACTTCAGGAATACAATTACAAACCCAAGCTTGGTTGGCATTGCCTAAATCTTAGAAAATCCTGAGCACAATAAGCAATTGCTCGAGTTCACAAAGACATGGATGTGTAGAATGTATTTGTTTTGCCAACACACAGATGTATAAATTTATACTTGCATGTATGAGGAGAAGGAGATAATTAGGGTGGGTTTAGAGAGATCTTTTTGAAAGAATGAATTTAAAAGGGGAGAGAGAGAGAGTTTAAAGTGAATGGTCTGAGTGAGAAGAGTTACGAAGAGATACCGAGTGTGGAGGGAGAACTGTGACGTGGTTAGAGAGGAGTTGAGAGAGATTTTTAGAGAGAGATTGAGTTTAGGGCAGAGATAGTGGGAGATTATTTTTTTTAAATAAAAATTCTTTATTGGAATGTTTTGAATTATGGATTAGAATTAGAGCCCTCAAATAATTGTGTACTATCTGTTATCTTCATCCAGTCAATTCAAGGAATGTACCAGTAATTTGCCATGAGTGAGGGGTCTTGTCGTTAAATGGAGAAACCTCAGGGGAGGTCATGGTAATTATCCCTAGTTTGTTATATAAAATATTTTTTTTCCTGTCCAGGAGTTTTCCCGGGTTGGAGCGTGCAGCAAAGTGCCGAGGCAAATGAGATAGAAAAAGAAAATTTTAGTGTGTCTCCTGCTGTTGATGATAAAGGTAATACTGGGCAAGGTGGAAATGGAAGCTTGCCTTTTGTGAAGAACACACTACTTTGGCAAACAATTGAATCTATGGAAGTGTTTGAGAGAATGCCACAAAAGCCACATTTCCACCCGCTTGTCGACTGTAAAGAGAGTTCTCGTGAAGGATTAGCTATAGGTAGTATGGTAACCTTTTGCAGTGTGGTGGAGAGGACAGCCAGTTTGCGATTTGATGGTCCTAGAAGCTCCATTGAGGAGTGTTTGGAAACCCTGGTTGAATTGGAAAGTCATGGATTTGATGTTCAGGTGGTACGAGACCGTTTAACTGGACTTCTATTGATCAAGGATAAGCACGTACATCTTCAGGACCAGATAAAAGATGTTGAGAGTGAGATGGTTGATCATAATGTTGAGAAAACTAAAATTGTTGAGGAGATTGGTGAGATTGAAAAGCAGATAGAGGAATTACAGGAAAAGCGTGCAAGGGCCATTTCAATGAAGGAGGTGAAGGATTCTGAGATTGCTACTTTGCAGTCGAGATCGGATGAGCTCAATGAAGGCATAAGGAAGGCCCAAGGTGAATTTGAGGGCTCAGCTTCTGCCCCTTGGTAAGTTGCGAGTATCTTGTATGCAGGTCCTTTGGTTGTGTGGAGTACAACCTGCTTGTCTCTACATTTTGATAGACCTGCTTGTCCATGTAGTGATTGATGGGCTATGAAAGTTTGTAGATTGTAATCAATTATAGTGGCAGTGTATTTAGCTTTGGTGGACGTTAGATTTTTATGTTTCTTTAGTGGGTTTGAACTGTAAAATTCAGTTTATCTTACTACTCTTGTTGTAACTCGTCTTTGGGAACCAGAGGTGGATAGTATTCTGACGTAAATGCATGCACCTTAAGTTACAATGGTGGATCCTGTAGTAATGGTTGGGTAATAAGAAGATCGACCTGGTGGGGTGGGGTGGGGTGGGGTGGGGGTGTGGTGAGGTGAGGCTAGGTTGGCTGAAATGCATGTGGCCATCCAAACTGATAAATCTTTTGGTTGTGTTGTAGTAAAATTATTGTTCTTATGACAAGAATTTGTTGAGTTGCGTGAATATGACAGACGGACAGGCGGGCACGCTCACACACTGGTGCTCGCTGATAAATCTCTTGGTCGTATTGTGTTGTAGTAAAATTATTTTTCTTATGATAAGACTTTGTTGAGTTGTGTGAATTTGATAGACAAGCAGGCAGGCAGGCACACCGGTGCTTGAAATCTATTTCTCAACTGTTGGTAATTTACTTTACTGCCTAATATTTGTCATGGGATGGGACACTATGTGTATATATATATATATATAGAGAGAGAGAGAGAATTAGAGAGTGCATGGTTGGTTTCTGAAGCTTACCTAATACTTGAGGCAGAGGAAAGTGCTTGTAGTTTTGTTCCACTCTTTCTATTTTTGGTTTCAAATGACAATAAAACTTATATAAATTTAAGACCTTGGATTTGTAATTGGAGTATGGTTTTGTTTATTTATTTCGTCCTCCCCCACACTTTCTATTTTTTTAAAATGATGTCAATGGAGGAAGGTGTAATGACTTTATCATATATATATATATATAATTGCAATCGAAAATAAGTATTTATTTTGTCATTTGGATAAATCTACTGTACCGACAGGATAACTGAAATGTTATTCAATAATGACAAAATATGTTTTTATATTTTTTCAAAAAATAAAAATAAAAAAAACATTTTTTCTATTTTACTAAACATAAAAAGAATTAATGTTTCTTACTTTTCATCTTTTTTACTTACGAAATACAAATAGTATGTAATTTTATATATGAAATTAATGAATATAAAACATGTAATTGATAATTATGTTATATAAAGGATATATAAACAAATAATATATATTTTAATACATATA